GTTCAACGGCCATTTTAAAACTAGAACTTAGAAGAGATAAAAGTTTTATCAAGTATAATATTCTTAAGTCTAATATTCCATGAAATCCTTTAGGTCCATTTTGATACTGTTATAGTATTTTTTTTTAAGTAAACATAGTAAAAAGAAGACCATGTCCAACACTCCACGAATCCTCAAAATCACCAAGGAACAGGGATTCTGTGCATTTAACGATACTTAAGTATGTTTAAGGGTAAAATGTTTAAAAAAAGTTGAGAAAATCTCTTAGTTACTAGCTGATAACGTAAAATATATTATCGTAAATAATATAATGTGATAATAACTGTGCATGTTATTAAATTTACCATGGCATTTGCCTGATGGTGATTGAGCGATGGAATGTCCAATCGAACTCGATCATCACTTTGATATTTTTTGTCAAACGGGCAAATAACAATAATATTAATGTATTACAGTAGTGGCAATATGCCGGTTTAACGGCACTTGGGGCGTTTTTCCCCATAAGAATAACATGGAGAGCTTTTTTAGCCACTTTTTTAAAAATCCTGCTCTCGGCTTATACAAGCCTATATTAATGTTCAATACCATTGTATAACTTTATCACTATTTCAAATCCACATGCATTCACATGTATATTCTCAAAATCATGCGAGGTTTGCATGTGAACTTGGGTGCGCTCCCGGCTCATGGCGCGCTCCCTTGGACATCCTTAGTGGAAATCCATGAGTTCTGGCTACTTGGGAAACCAAGCCATTTGACATACAATAAATCACCCTTCCTCCTCATTACCTTTTCTAATTTTCTAAATTTGTTCTAATTTTTTTTAATACATGTCTTTATACTTGGTCTTTAACAACTCCTCTGTATAGAAGCCTCCCCTGATTATATTGCCATTTTCATCTTTCAAGATATAAGTCAGGCTTTGTATTCTTTACTTCTGCTATTAAATAAATAGTTCCCCTGTCCAATTCGGAGTATAACCTTTACTAAAAACATGTTTATACTTGGAAATCCTCACACTATCACCTACCTTATATCTTGGTTTTTTAACTTGCACTACTTTAGAAGTCAACCTCTCATGCACATATTTACTGTTCTTAATACTCACTTGGTTAGGCTTCATTCCTATAGATCTATGCACCTTATTATTATATTTTCGAATTAACTTTGGAAGTAAATCCAACCATTTATAACTTCCCTGAGGACTAAATTCCCTATATAACCAATTCTTTAAAGTTCTCTGAAACCTCTCCACAATTGCAGCCTTAGTTGTAGAAAAAGTGTGATAGTGATTAATATTTAATTTTTTCATTAGTTTGCTAAAATATTGATTAAAAAATTATTTTCCATTGTCGGATTGAATGTTTATAACCCCTTTTGGTAGAATGGTTTTAATGGCTTCTGTAACCACTAACCCTGTCTTATTCTTTAGTGGAGCCGCATAAGCTTTTTTAGAAAATGTATCTATTAAAGTTAAAATATATTTATTGCCAGAATTCTCTCTAGCATAGTTTTGCATATCAATTAAATCTATTTATATGGTTTCGTTTATACCCAATACTTTAAAAGAACTTCTAATGAAATTATTTCTTGCAGGTTTATGAAGTTCGTATGCAATTTCATTCATTTTTTATAACATCACTCTTTCCTTTAACTCTAAATACATCACCATTAGCCCCAATCAATAGATTACCTTCCATTCTTTTAAATTCATAGTTTTCTGGTATATATGGTCTATTATCTATATGCTTAAATCCACTCAAAGAAGTGGGGTCAGCAACTAATAAATCAGGATTGTATTCCATCAAATTAAATCTTTTAATTTCGATCCGTCATAATGCATAGCGTGTGACATTAGACAAATATCATCCGAATGTTCCCCCTCTGGTTGATTTCTTATAAATTGATTTTTGGCATCCCAACAATATAGTTTTTTATTATAAGTTATAGTCTGTTCTTTTGTAACACAGTCAGTGTCATCAATGGCAGGTTGACGTACTAACCTTTTATTATTAAAATTCCAATAGCCTGCTTCCATTTTTGGAACTTGTGAAACATTCACAGCATCTTTACTATCTGTACCTTCCATCTAATCGCTAAGTTTCTGTTTCTTAGCATTCTAAACACCATTCTCTGATTCTAAAAATTCATAATTATTATCGTCTTGTACAAATTTACCATCTTTTTTCATATTAAAGTATGTTGTAAAGTGGGCACATCATTTAAACTTTCACCCTTTTCTACATTAGTAATTTTCCGTTTCTTAGCATTCCAAACACCATTTTCTGATTCTAAAAATTCATAATTATTATTGTCTTGTACAAATGTACCACCATCTTTACGTATTAAAGTCTGTTGTAAAGTGGGCACATCATCTAAACTTTCACCCTTTTCCACATTAGTAATTTTCTGTTTTTTAGCATTCCAATTTTTATTCTTAGATTCTAAAAACTCATATTTAGTTTTACCTTGTAAAAAGACATCACCTTTTCTAGTTAATGTCTGTCCCAAAGTTGATACATCATCTACAAACTCCCCATATTTAACGTTACCAATTTTATGGTTTAAACAATTCCAACTATCGTCTTTTAAATTTAAAGTAGGTTCACTACTAGCCCTGGGTTCTGCAGGCTTATTATATGGATTATATAAACGATAAAATTTATCTATAAACATATTTTTATTTAATAAATAATTCCACTTTCTCTCAATTCCTCAAGTCTTCTCTATCTACTCCTGAGTTACCGGCTTGGCGACTTAGCCAAAGAAGTCTTAACCTATTTACAAGATCATTAGGATTATCCCAATAAATATAGTCTATTTTATTACCAGTCACTTGTCTCAAACCTTCACCAACAGATTTTAAAAGAGGTTTAATTAATGGACATACAAAGATGGTGCACCAATTTCAAGTAATAGACATACTAAATATCTTAATACAATTATTGTATTAAGATATTTAGTATGTCTATTACTTGAAATTGGTGCACCATCTTTGTAACTCTTTAAATGTCCATTTGTAGCTTCCAAAATTTCTATATAATTTTGCAAATCAGCCGGAGTATAATCCTCAGGTTCTTTTAAAGTTAACAATTCCCACAAACCTTTTGTCCCCTTGCAGGTTTTATTTGCAACTGTAACATCATCATTGGCAATATCAACTTCCTTATTTCCAATAAAAAATGTATTTGCTTCTCGTCTAATACCATATGTAGTGTCTGTCATACTACTTTTACTGAGGTAATTTCCTAAATAGTCTGATGCTAAAAGACCAAAATCTAATTTCTGTGGGGTGTGTGGTTGTAATGGTTGTAATCTTGGTATTATTGGTATTCTAGATGGAGTCATTGGGAGAATCTCCATTCGAGGTCTCTCTGTTTTGGCGATTTTTTTTAATTCTTGTAATGGCTCTATTAAAGGTTGGAAAGTTTGGAACCTCTCTTCAGCCTCTAGAAACTTGCCACGTTTTAAAGCTCTATATTTCTCTCGTATTTGATTTGCAGAGTCAACCAATTCTTGTTGAATATTTTTCATCTTTTATTTACATTTTATCTATCTCATTTGACAAAGGATTGTACTCAAACACTTTATCATGTATTATCAAACAATATGCAGATGTATTTGCTGGCACATTTTCTGCGGTTTCAATCTCTAATTTAATATCAACAATTCCTTCCTTCACTGTTTCGTTCTGTCTAGAACAGTCTATTACAATTAGTGGATATTTCTTCATAAACTCAGCTCTACTAATCATAGGATCTGGGAAAGTATTATAGAAAGTCTCTCTAAACCTCATAAACATCTCATGAGCTTTAGAGACATCTCCATTTTCAAAGTCGAGATTTAAATCACTATAAGGATAATATTCAGAGTTTAGAAATACTTTGAGATTTTTTAATTTACAGGGATCAAATTCATCAGTTCTTTTTCGCGCACTAATATCCCTAGCTGTTTGGAAACCAAATATAATATACCTAGGCTTTTCCAAACTAGAAGACGTCTTTACTGACCATGTATGTCTTGTGGTATTGGGATATGATGAAATTTCATGCAGCTCTAAACTTCTAAATGCAATTTGCAAATTTTTATTTTGCAATAACATCTTTTGTAATTGTAACTTCTCCCCATCTGATGGTATCACATGTGGCATCACCCATTGAATTGAGTCAAGTGTAATTTTAGGAATCATATCAGCAGTGCCACTGGCTGGAGCACTAGTGGTTGTTAATATACAATGCAAATAATTTTTTGATCTTTTCAACACCAATTCTTGTTTAACATTTACTAATACCTTATTAAAATCCTCAATTACACCCATTAACAGTTCTAATGGCAAACAAGTAATAAACTTGCCACCGTTATGGAACTCTTTTAAATTTGTGTCAGAATCAAATGCTAGTTTGAAAAATTACATCACCTAACATAACATTTTCTAGAATGCGAGCGATAAATTTATATTACAGTCGTGTATAAGCTGAAATGGTGTGGCTACATGATAGTTTAACCAAGTCAGCTTTTTATAAGCTAACAAGTAAATCGGTAGAAAAAGAAGCAGAAGAACGAAGAACAACAACAACAACATTCAGTCAACAGTGGTGATTGGATTGGTGCATAGTGATCGTGATCTAGATGTGATTCTGCAAAACGTCATAAAGTTCTCTAAATAGTGATTTGAACCTATTTGTTTATTAATTAATTGGCTGTATTTTTCTCCTCATATTATAAAATTACAATGATTCTCTTTACTATTTGATATCACAAAATTATTATTTATGTGACTTCATCTGTAGACATGTTAAAACGTAGGTAAAACCAACTTGCTTAGTTACTTTCCTAAATCATATGACCAGAGTTCAGTATTTTTACAAGCATCTTATTTAGTATGTCATCTCACAGTGATGTTTTTGTTTCTATAAAGCAGCTGAGCAAAAATTGATAACAGATACGTTAAGCTTGTGTCTATAGCCTATTGTTTGGCAACTTTAACAATAATTCTCAAAATGGGTGATGTTCTAATTGATGATTTGGTAAAACAAGAAGATCGTGTTGCAACCATTAACAGGCTCAGAAGACTCGTTAAGTTCTACCTTGACTCAAATCACACTGAGAGCGCGATGTTTTGGGCAGACAAAGCCGCCTCGATCAGTGACTCGCCTTGTGACTACTACTGGCTGGCTCAATGCATGTTCCGCAGCGGCGAGTACCAGAGAGCTGCTTATTTAATTAAAAGCAAACATTTAGATCAGGATCAGCCTTTGTTCCAATGGTTGGCAGGACTCTGTCTTTTAGAGGCTAAGAAGTACGATGAAGCTTTGCTGGTTTTGTCAGGTGATTGTGAAAATATCAGCGCCATTAACTCATCGAATTCTGCTTCATCAGCTTTTATTCTCAATATTCCTGCGATAACCACCAACCACATTCTGGAAGGCTTCACTCCAGAGACACTTCGTTCCGCTCTGCTAACATTGAAGGGTCGCATCTATGAGAAACTGGACAGGAAACCCTGTGCATTGGAATGTTACAAACAAGCTCTAAAATGTGATGTTTTCTGCTACGAAGCTTTCCAAGCCATAACTAAACATCAAATGCTTTCTGCTTCAGAAGAGAAAGAGTTAATGGATTCCCTGCAATTTAAGTCTCAGTGCAGTAATCCTGGTTTACTGCCATTCGTTTATGAACAGCTTTTAAAAAAGTATCAAAAACTGACTCCTTCTGAATTACAACTGTGTTCTTTTAACCATAATCTTGGATTGTTGGGGAATCTGGACCTAAAGGCTGCTCGAGCTGAGAGACTCTTGTACGATTGCGCCTTCAAACAGAGCTACGCTCTCACAGTTGACATTTTGAAAGCTGATACTTTCCACAAACTAGGTCTTCAGGTACACATAGCCTGTCTAGTACAGCTAAAGAAACATTCTGCTCTGTTTTATCTAGCCCACCAATTAGTGGACACTTATCCTAGCCGAGCTGTTACGTGGTATGCGGTCGGTTGTTACTACCTCGTGATAGGAAAGCTAATCACAGCTCGTACGTATCTTGGGAAAGCTGTTTATATTGATAAATGTTTCGGACCAGCATGGCTTGCTTACGGACACTCGTTGGCTAAGGAAAATGAACACGATCAAGCAATGGCTGCGTACCTCTCTGCAACAAAGGTAATGAGGGGTTGCCACTTGCCTCTAATGTATGTAGGAACTTCGTGTGGACTGATAAACAACTTAAAATTAGCAGAAAGATTTCTAACTCAAGCTCATTCAATAATGCCTAGTGACCCTTTTGTGATTCATGAATTGGGTACGATCGCTTATCAGAATGCCGACTTCAAAGTGGCGGAACAATATTTCTTGAAAGCGCTCGAAGAAGTTCGGAAAAGAGATAAACATATTATTTGTGATAAATGGGAACCTCTCCTGAATAACCTTGGCCACACGTATAGGAAGCTGAAGAACTACGATGAAGCTTTAGGCTATCATCACCACGCCCTCTCTATTCTACCGAAAAACCCATCAACTCTTACAAGCATTGGATTCGTGCAAGCTTTACAAGGAAAGTTCGTAGAGGCTATTGAGTCATTCCATAAAGTTCTTACTTGGAAAAAGGATGATAGCTTTAGTCTAACCATGCTACCTTATCTGATACAACAATATGAATTTGTTACACCTTCTAAGTAGGCCTATACTTAATCTTAACTGACAGGAACAACAAGAATCACAGTACAATTATGTGGCTTGTAAACATTGAAGCAAACCAGTATTATTTGCTAAAGGTTGTATGTTATACCGCAACATTATAATCTGAATTGAAACGTTAATATTTTACTGATTTTTCGACATAGTGAGAAAAAAGTGTGAACAAGATAAAAAATGGTTGTAGACATTGAAAATGAGCATTTACATTAACCCTAGGTATATAGAATGTAAAGATAGATTTTCATTGTAATAACTGTGTGGTCTTATACGCTAACAAAATTTAAAAGTATTAAAAGAGGATTCAAGAGGTTTTTGTAATAACAGCAATTTGTTTTGAAAAGTGATTAATTAATATCACTGTCATACTGTAATAGTATGTAGGTTAGCTTTACGTGAAATTAATTATTGTACTGTATTCTGATTTGTTATTATATTTTTCAATAAACTGTTTGTAGCTCATACAATTAAAAATGAATTATAGCTATGACTTGCTATTAAAAAGTAAAACAAAATACTCAAAAAAAAACTCAAAACAATATTAAACACTTTATTAGAGGCAAATTCAACTATGATCTCTTTGTGTAAGAAGTTCTTTGTACTCTACTCATATATCGTAGTTTCAATTTAAATTAGGAGTTTTCCACATCCTGAAGAAGAATGGAAATGAAAATAACACTAACCTGAATTAATGCAACTCAATATTATGAAAATATTAGTGATGCTTAAAAAATACCTTGTATGTGAGATAAGATTACGTCAGATTATGTGATACGCCCTTGAAAAGTTGACTTAAGATATGAACAAAAATGTGTAAAACCCATCCATTCCATCAAAAACAACTATTGTTGTCTGTTTCATTTTTAAAAACTGTCCCGATTTTCCTTATACGCATAACAAATAGTTCTATACTACCATCCAGAAATCCAAAGCCAATTTAAGCTATTATTTTAGTAGGCATTAGACAATAAGGTTGGAGCCGTGGTGAGGAACTCAATATAGGGATTATCATATGAAACAACCTAGACTCCCGTCTGGAATAAATACCGATAGCCTTGACTGTAATGTGAACTGAATATCAATACAGTCGCTGATACTGTATACGTATTCGTTTCATGATGATGGTTTCAATAAGTGGACTTAATAAACTAATAATATTGAATTGTTTCCTGTATTAGTTGATTAAAGACGAAACTTTCATCTTAAATCAATTAATACAGAAAACAATTCAACATCATTACTTTATTAAGTCCACTTATTGGGTCCAAAAATTGATTAAGACTACACTTTAAATTGTATTTAAATTGTATTTAAACTCTTGTCTGTCAATTGTAGGTTATGAGAGACGTTAAGTGGGTTAAGTCGCCTGCCATACTACCATAGTACAGTATTTCTATTTCTTAACACTACAGCATAGTTCATTACAAAACCATGACCAAGTATTAATGCCATGACAAACGTAGAAAGAACAAAATAAGCTCAGATTAATCGTTTGTGCTCTTGATGTTTGGAATCGGATTACCAACTGATTGATTGTGGAGTCCGTAATCAGCAGAGTTTGAACAACTGATGACGGAAGAAAATAAATTCATCACGTCTGACAGAATTGGTAGATGACAAGGTAATATATATGTGGTATATCCATATTACATTACAAGACCATTCATTTATCTTCATTCACAACTGTCAATTAAAATATTGTGTTATTGCAAAAATACGTCCGATTAAACATAACATGAGTTATGATTCTTTTGGTACTGTCAGTTAAAATATTATTATTTTGTTACATTCAGGAACGACGTTATAACTAATACAAAATAAGTTATTCAGTAACTTGACGTTGTAAGAACAAAATATAGGGACTTTGTCGTGGCCAACTGTATTTTTAAAGTTAGTTAATAGTTATTTTTAGTAAATTTGACTAGGCTAATGCAATTGTAATGTCAATCTAGCTATAAATAAATGAGTTATTGAGTTATGTTAATCTTTGGTTTCTGCAATTTTTTAGTGAGATTTAACAACTTTTATAATTACTTTTTCCTACAGTTACCTGACAAAGCAGGCTTCTTTGCACAGATTAAAGCGCGCAAAGTAGCTAATTGCTGCCTTTACTTACTTTTGCCACACTCACTTTACTTTTCCGCATTCCAGTATTCCAACCAAACAACACAAAACAGTGTGCTTTTATAAGGCACGTAATACGTGTTTGCTTGAAAATAAGTTGACAACACATAAAGATACTTCGACTACGATCAGCTGGTGCAGTGTTTCACAGCCTTTGAGTATTGATATACAGTACTACGACTTAACCTAACCTATTGTTTCTTAACATTCTATTTTCGTTCAACGCTTGGATTTTAACATAACCTAAAGCGTGTTGTTGAGTGTTTGAAAGACTAAATTCTATTTATATGTTTACTGTAGGAAAATATAATGTGTAACCTGCTCGAGCGCAAAGTGCCACTTTTTGCACTAGTTACACAAACAACTAACTATTTATGATGTTTATACATTTTAAATATTGTAGTTCATAGCACTAAACGAACAATTAAATGTTAAACCATAACTTGGTCTTACGCTTTGTGGATGATTTTAAGTACCTAAAGTGAATTTAAAATTTTGTTCTCCAGTTCAAAGCTCGAACAGTGTTTTAAAAACATAACTGTATAAAATACAGCAAAATATGTTGTTTTGAATAGATAAAACGCTGCTTGCTGCAAGCGACAGATATTTATGCAGTTATGAAATTTGTTTGCCATCAAACTGTTGCATAAACAAATAGTTTTATCTTATTTAAAAATCTATTGATCGTGGTATAGCTTCCCTTTACTTTGTATGTAGGCTATATTTATTTATTACAAATACCAATAATAAATAATACATCTTTGTTCTCCAATTTCTTAGTTTTTTACAATTTAATCTATGGACATGAACCCCTAAACTTACATAATGTTTCGTAAACCAAAAAATGGATTCATGCTGTAACTAAACAGTGTGATTGAGTGTGGAGGTAAAAATAAGTGTTGGGGAAAAGGGGTTACTCATTATACAAGCCTAACTGATTTTATCTATACTATTATAAAATACCCCCGTCGCAGCAAACCTGCATACTAAGCGAATTTCCATTTACCCGGCTTGATTTCTACTAAAATATTCCCTAAAAATTTACAGATTTATATCCTATTTAAATAACATTAATTTTAGTGAGTAGTTAGGTTTGCTGCTACGGGGAAGATGTTGAGATGTGTTTTTTTCAATTGAAATATTGATAGCTTAGTATGAAATAAGCCAAATTGCCAAATTTGATTACTTAAAATATATCCATAAACAAGCAAACTAGAACAGTTTATTTATTCTCCATAAGAATAACATGGGAATTTTAAATTTACAATTTTTTGAATTTTCTCCGTAGTCAATGAACATTCAAAAAAACTTCAATATACTAAATTATTTGTTTTTTTAAGCTCTTCAAAATGGTCTAGAGAGAAATTTAGAAATTTAAAGTTTTTAGAGGCAAAAATGAGAAAAACCCATTTTTACCCCATAAAACCCCCCATAAATCCCTGATCCCATGGTCCGATTATGCTGGTTCGCGAACTCGTTCGAATAAATGTAGGTTTACACGTTTGTACCAAATTTCATCGAAATCGGGTCAATTTTGCTCGAGTTATCGCGCTAACGGACACATATATAAATATATATATATATATACAGGGTGTTGAAAATGTCTGGAACCAACATTATATCTGGTGAGTGGTTAAAGAAAAACAAATGATATTTTGTGTACGGATATACTATGGTTTTACCTATCTTTTGGTGCCTTATGAAAATTTTTACCACTTATAGGGAACGTCCTGTGGAGGATGCAGTAATAAGTTTAAATAGAAGCCTATGGTAAATGATACATCATTTTAAAGGCCATTTTTTTCTGAGTAAGGAGCCACAAGTTTCATCTCAAAAGGACCACCCTAGCAAAAATGACGACTGTTTGAAATTTAAATAACCACTTATAGGGAACGTTCTGTGGAGGATGCAGTAAAAAGTTTTCATTGAAGCCTATGGTAAATGATACATCATTTTAAAGGCCATTTTTTTCTGAGTAAGGAGCCACAAGTTTCATCTCAAAAGGACCACCCTAGCGAAAATGGCGACTGTTTGAAATTTAAAAATTCCGTTCCCTATAAGTGGTTTTTTAAATTTCAAACAGTCGTCATTTTTGCTAGGGTGGTCCTTTTGAGATGAAACTTGTGGCTCCTTACTCAGAAAGAAATGGCCTTTAAAATGATGTATCATTTACCATAGGCTTCTATTTAAACTTATTACTGCATCCTCCACAGGACGTTCCCTATAAGTGGTAAAAATTTTCATAAGGCACCAAAAGATAGGTAAAACCATAGTATATCCGTACACAAAATATCATTTGTTTTTCTTTAACCACTCACCAGATATAATGTTGGTTCCAGATATTTTCAACACCCTGTATATATAAGTAGGTAGATATATTCATGTCACTTCTGGGCCAAAAAAGGAGCCACTCAAAAATTAAATGAATTTTCCTATTTTTTTATACAATATGCTATATTTTTTACCCTTTTAGGTCAATTTCTAACATATTCATATTTTTCTAGAAAAAGTATATAATTTTGATGAAATTTTCATGAATATGTCTATATTTTACATAAAATTGACTACAAACTGAAATGTTTTTAAAAACAAGTAAAATTTTAAAATTTTTTATTCAAATATTCTAAATATTTTATTTAAATTATTGTTTTTTGTAAATAATATTTTTCCTATTTGAGTTAGTTAAAATTTATTAAAAGTATTGAATTTCTCAGAAAATTCTAATGATATTTGATGTATTACAAGTCCATATTTCATTTTAAATAATTTTAAACTTAAAAGAAATGTTATCAAAAATGATAATCTTAAGATAAAAAGATAAGTATTGATTTAAATTGAAAATAAATATCACCAATGAAAAG